GTGTCCCAGGGCCCCTTCGGTCAGGCACGGCAGGGCGTGAGCTCGAACAGCTGACGGGGATTTAGCCGCCTCCGTGGGCGAGGCAGGACCCAAGTCCGTCGCGGGTCTGGCCCAGGGACTATTCCATCAAGGGCTCCCACGAGGGCGCGAAGTTAGTCGCGCTTCGCGCTTCGCGGGCCTCATTCCTCCTCCGCCTCCTCCTCGTCCTCCTCTTCTCCCCTTTGGGGGCGGCGCGAGAGCGCGAAGTTGTTGGCGCTTCGCGCTTCGCGCAGCACGAAGCGCGAGGTTGGGAGCCCTTGTCCATCCGCGTGCACGGGTTATCAGCCGAAAGGCCCCGTCTCGCGGGGGTACGAACGCCTCGGTTTTCTGCTGGTCGCGAAGCTCGAGGCCATCATCTCGCGCACTTCGTTCGGGTTCGATGGGGCCGCTGGCGGCCGCGCTATGACATGCGAGCGGCTGCTGTAGCCGCCACGGCTGGGGCGGATCGACAAATTGATGATCAACGTGCCATTCCCATAAGGGTATAACGTCGATACACCGACGCGGCGGGGAGACCCGAGACGCTGCGGGCGGCGGGGAGACCCGAGACGGGGAGACCCGAGACGCTGCGGGCGCTGCGGCGGGGCAGCGCCGGCACCCCAAGACGACAGCCGAAAACCCGTCTTGACAGACGGCAGGCATTTGTCGAAACGCCCGTGGAATTGGTGTTAAGTCGGGCCTGTCCCCCTACAGGGGGATGCTCGACGAAAAATATAAAATACCCCAAAAGAAACCCAAAAATAGTTAAACATAGTCTGGGGACGACTTTTGGGTTTTTTGGTGGTATTCATTATTTTTCGTCGAAAACCCCCCTGTAGGGGGACAGGCACGATCTAAAATTAGTGTCCCGTGCCTGGGTTGTGTGGCTGAGGCCATTCAGATGGTTGATGGGGTCTCGTGGGAAGCCCCTGGGGGGCGTCTTGGAAACAGTTTACGGGCCTCTTGGGGTCTTCCTGAGGGGTTCTTGGGGGCCTCTTGGGACCCTCTTGGCGCTCCTGGGTTTTTTTCCCAACCATCCTGTGGTGTTGGGTCCTCGTTTTGAAGAGACGGTGCCCCGCGTCTCCTTCCTCTCCTCCTCCGCCTCCTCTCCCCTCCTATCATCCTCATCGTCATCATCATCATCATCATCATCATCATCATCATCATCATCATCATCATCATCATCATCATCATCATCATCATCATCATCATCATCATCATCATCGTCATCATCATGGCACACCCCTCACACGTTTCGTGGCCCCATAGGGAGCTCCACCTAAGGTCCACGTGGCGCAGCTCGCATGGCGCCACCGCCCCTTTTTGGCACACCCCTCACACGTTTCGTGGCCCCATAGGGAGCTCCACCTAAGGTCCAAGTGGCGCAGCTCGCATGGCGCCACCGCCCCATTTTGGCACACCCTTCACACGTTTCGTGGCCCCTCAGGGAGCTCCACCTGAGGTCCAAGTGGCGCAGCTCGCATGGCGCCACCGCCCCAGTTTGGCACACCCCTCACACGTTTCGTGGCCCCTCAGGGAGCTCATTTTGGCACACCCCTCACACGCTTCGTGGCCCCATAGGGAGCTCCACCTAAGGTCCACGTGGCGCAGCTCGCATGGCGCCACCGCCCCTTTTTGGCACACCCCTCACACGTTTCGTGGCCCCATAGGGAGCTCCATTTCACGGTCCAAGTGGCGCAGCTCGCATGGCGCCACCGCCCCATTTTGGCACACCCCTCACACGTTTCGTGGCCCCATAGGGAGCTCCATTTACGGTCCAAGTGGCGCAGCTCGCATGGCGCCACCGCCCCATTTTGGCACACCCCTCACACGTTTCGTGGCCCCTCAGGGAGCTCCACCTACGGTCCAAGTGGCGCAGCTCGCATGGCGCCACCGCCCCATTTTGGCACACCCCTCACACGTTTCGTGGCCCCTCAGGGAGCTCCACCTGAGGTCCAAGTGGCGCAGCTCGCATGGCGCCACCGCCCCATTTTGGCACACCCCTCACACGTTTCGTGGCCCCTCAGGGAGCTCATTTTGGCACACCCCTCACACGCTTCGTGGCCCCATAGGGAGCTCCACCTAAGGTCCACGTGGCGCAGCTCGCATGGCGCCACCGTCCCTTTTTGGCACACCCCTCACACGTTTCGTGGCCCCATAGGGAGCTCCATTTACGGTCCAAGTGGCGCAGCTCGCATGGCGCCACCGCCCCATTTTGGCACACCCCTCACACGTTTCGTGGCCCCTCAGGGAGCTCCACCTGAGGTCCTAGTGGCGCAGCTCGCATGGCGCCACCGCCCC